AAGAAATAAACTGAGGGCCAGGGATTTAGCTCAGTGGTCCTGGTGACTGCCTCACAAGTTCAATCCCTGGAACCAAAAAAAAAAAAAAAAAAAAAAAAAAAAAAAAAAAAAAAAAATAAACTGTTGCAATTTTTAGTAAAAAAGAAAACAAAAGAAGAAAAAATTGTAGATGTGCCAGCTAAGGCTAAGTAGAAACAGTAATCAGAAAGTACAAGTTCGCCTCAACAGGGACATCCTCTGAGAACGTCCCACAGTAAAGAGACAACTTGAAGAAATGGAAAGGCATATTGGGAGGGGGACCAGGGATCTCACAGGTGGCGTTCATTAGGGAAGATTGTCCCCGCCCCCCAGCATTAGCCAATGAGGGAAAGGCCCTCATACAGCCCTGCATGACAGGTGTTTTGTTTTGTTTTTGATTTGGTGCCGGGATCCAACTCAGGTCCTTGAGCTTGCAAGGCAGGTGGCGAAACCACTGAGCTAAATCCCCGGCTCCTGGTTTAAAGAGTGGGGCTGGGAATTTTTGCTCAGTGGTTCTTCTTCCTGCTTCAGAAGTGCAAGGTCCAGAGTTCCATCCCCAGGACAAAAAAAAAAAAAAAGCGCCGGCAGTGAGCACCTGGTGTGATCGGCCCTCAGAGACAGCCTTGGGAGAGCGATAAAGCTTTGTTCTTCACCCTTCTCTCCTCAAGTCCATTTTTTGGGTCTGGACAAGCGAACACATTTCTCATAGGTGTTCAGTTTGTTTGGGTTTCAACTTAGTCTGCAGTCTCAGACTCACATAAGTTTAACAGCAAGCATATAGAAAATACCCTCCATGAGCCTGTAATATATCTTACTTAATTAGCTTATTAAACAGGTAACGTTTAAAAATATTGTCCATCCTCAAATCTAGCAAGGAAGTGAGTTTGAATAAAACGAATTTATTTTTTATTACAGTAGTGCAGATTGAACCAAGGGCTTTTGCACTGAGCTACATTCTGAGCTGTTTCAAAATGTTTTTATTTTAAGACAAGATCGCCGGATATGGTGGCTATGGTGGCGCATGCCTGTAATCCCAGTACTCGGGAGGCTGAGGCAGGAGGATTGCTGTGAATTTGAGACCAGCCTGGACTACATAGTGAGTTCCAGGTCAGTCTCAACTACATAGTGAGACCTTGTCTCAAAAAACAAACAAAAAAAGAAAGGAAAAAGAAAGACAAGATCTCATTATGTGACCAAATTGCTCAAATGTATGATCCTCGTGCCTCAGCCACCTAGAGTGCTGGAATTACAAGTATGTGTCACTATGCCCACTGCTACTTTTCTTTCTTTCTTTCTTTCTGGTACTGGGGATCGATCAAACTCTGGTCCTTATGCTTGCATAGCAGGCGGCAGAACCACTAAGCTAAATCCCAGGGATCTTTCTATCTTTTTTTTTTTTTTTTTTTTTTTTTTTTTTTTTTTTTTTGGTACTGGGGATCGAACTCAGGTCCTTGTACTTGTGAGGCAGGCACCGGAACCACTGAGCTAAATCCCCAGCCCTATCTTTCTATTTATTTTTCTTTCTTTCTTTTAATTTTTTATGATATCACAGATTGAACTCAGGACCTTGAGCTGGAAAGGCAGGTGGGGCACCACTGAGTTAAATCCCTGGCCGCCTACTTTTGATTTATTTTTCCCTTATCCAGAAACATTTTAATCTCTTAGAAAACAAAGCCAAAACAAAGAAACAAAAAAATCCCAAACTACTTTGCTCCTTTTCACAATAGTGCACATTTTAACCATAATTTAGTTATGGTACAAAGCATCAGAAGTCCTTTCGCTTTTGGGAGGTATTACTGTTGCCCTTCAAATCAGTTACACCCAAGTCAGGTGTGGAGGCGTAAAATCCTAGCACCACGAAGTTAAGGCAAGAGGATTGTAAAGTCAAGCCCCAGCTGGGTCACATCAATTTATTGGATCCATGTCTCAAAGAAAAACAGAAAAGTTCAACAGTGGGCATATCTTTTTACCCAGCAATTCCACATCTTGGAAATCACTTTGCAAAATTACTTGAGTCAGGGTTTAAAAATCTGTTTCTCCCTTCACTGTGGTAAATAATTTTTTTTGGGGGGGCGTACTGAGCATCAAACTCAGGACCTTGTACTTGCAAGGCAGGCAGTGGAACCACTGAGGTAAATCCCCAGCCGCTGTGGTAAATAATTTAATCGTTTAACAGCAAGGTACTGGTGGATGAACTGTGCAATATCTATATAATCCATAGAATGAATACAGAAAAGTACGCACTAGGTTGGTTACCAGATTGGGGTCTTGTGCAGGCTCTGGATGCCCTGAATAAAGAACTGAGCAGGACACCAAAAGGAGCAGCAAGATCAAAGAATCTCTTGGAAAGTGAAAATCCACCCCACAAGGCAGGAGTAGCTCAGGGAGAAGAGCTCCCAGCCCCATTGGAATTGGTGTTGAGGTTTTCAGCGTGAGGGCTTGGGTCCGGACTTGATCCCTGCCAAGGAGCAGGTTGCCTGGGCACTGCGCCGGGGCAGGGGACTTTTTGACCTTTTATAGTGCTTGCAGGAACCACCAGGCATCAAGATCCACGGTGGGGTGGAATCAGCAGGGTCAAGGGCGTGGTAATTAGGGTGGGGTTGTCCAAGGGCTGCTGGAGAGACTCCTGTGTACGAGTTATCCAGTTACTTTCTCCCAGTGCATTTGAACCCACATATCCCGGTCTGGGGCTGACACTTAACTCAGAAGGGGGTGGTGTCTAGTCCCATAAAAGGAAGTGCCCCCAAGGTGGGCCCTTCCTTCTTTTGTTTTGTTTTGGTGCTGGGGCTCGAACTCAGGACCTTTTTCTTTAGAGGCAGGCGGGGGAAATCACTGAGCTAAATCCCTGGCCCCCTTCTTTCTCCAGCCTTTCCTCAGCCATCTCCTGTCTCAGGTCTCTACCTACTGATTGGGAAGTCCCTACATAAACACCCGAGGAATGAAAAAAATCTAGCTAGAGAATAGAATACCTAGTGAGATTTTATTGATTTAGTATGGTCTTAGCATTTGAAACCAGAACCTCCACTCCGAGTTACCTCCGCAGCTCTTTTTTACTTTTTATTTTGAGACAGTGTCTCTCTCATTAAATTGCTAAACTTCCCAGGCTGTGTTTAAATCGTGATCCTCCTGCCTCAGCCTCCCAGAGTGCCCACACCTGAGTGAGATTTAAGGAACAAGAGGTGCTTACAGGTCCCATTAACACCTCCAACTCCCAAAACGATTCTCCTCCCCTCTTACAGGGAACAGTTCCCCTTTCTTCACACAAAGCCGTGTTATATGTGCAAGGCTGGCCTCGAACTTGTGATTCTTCTGTCTCAGTCTCCCAGCTTCAATATTTTGGGGGGTAGGGGTTGAGACACAGTCTCTCTATGTAGCCCAGGCTGGCCTGGAACTCATGACAATCCTCCTGCCTCAGCCTCCCAAGGGCTGGGATTACAGGCATGGGCCACCAGGCCCAGCCTCAATTATTTTTCTTTGGAGTACGTATGGTCAGTCGACACTGTCTTTGTCCCTGTTCTGTTGCCATAAAATACAAATATTGGAGGGCCAGGGACTTAGCTCACTGGTGCTGTCACCTGCCTCGCAAGCACAAGGTCCTGAGTTCCATTTCCGGTATCAAAAAAATAAATCACAAATACAAATATTGGAAACTAGATACTGTAACATACGAAAAATAGTTTTGTTCATTATTTCAGAAGCTGAGAATTCTGCTGGGCCTGCGGTAAGGACCTTCCTGCTGGCACCGGGCCTGATGTGAGGGAAGGTGTTATAGAAACAGAGCGAAGAGCCACAGAAAATGCAATTTTATAACAAAGTCAACTCCACTGAAAACTCACCATTCTGTAAATGGACCCATTTGTGGTAGCTGAGTCACCAAGACCCAGTGACCCGCAGGAGACCTCCAAGGACTCTGGACAGAGGATTTTGTGAATGAAGTCTCCACTGCATTCCAGGGAGGACAGTCAGACCAAGCAGCCCTCTCTGAGTATTGTCTGTAGATAATTTCATGTGTACAAGGATTTAATTCGTTCAGTCTCTGTTCCTCATTCCTAAAGGTGCTAAAATAGTGTTGAGTAATGATTTGAAAAAAATATAAAAGAGGGACCTAGATATGCACGTGCACATATGTATTTTTTCCATGTTTGTTTATTCCGGTACTTGAGATTAGACCCAGGGCCTTCACTATGAATTTGAGTGATTCTCCTGCCTCAGCCTCCCAGAGTGCTGGAAACACAGGTGTGCATCAACATGCCCAACCCACAGATTTCAGAGAATGTGGATCTAAGTATCTACATGAGCTGACACTAAATGTAGTTGCTCCTAAAATATACTTGTGTAGTCTTTTTCCAGTTGACCAAGCAGCTGCACTTACACGGTCTCATTCGGCTTTTAAAACAGTCCTCTGAGCTGGGTGTGGTGGCACATGCCTCTAGTCCCAGCCCTCAGGAAGCTGAGGCAGGAGGATTGTCACACGTTCCAGGCCAGCCTGGACTACACAGTGAGTCCAAGGCCAGCCAAACAACGACATAAACATTCCTCTGAAATACATAAAATACAGAACGATGCTTCCAACTTTATGGTTTGCCAACACCATTATTTCAATTGATGGTCTAAGCGCTGCACAATCCTTTCCTATTTTATTCTCCAGACTACTTCTAGATTTCCGAAGACTCCGGCCTGCATTTGTACATATTTAATTCCTTTGTTCGAGAATGTACTCTCCTACAGTTATCCTTAAAACCCAGTTCACCAGGGTTTCGCGAGACACACCCCCGTGACGCCACTAACCACCCCACCCCCATCCCTGGCACCAAAGACTCCGCCCCCACGGTTTA